CTGAAAAAAAAGTATATTTAATTCATATCTATATAAAGAAGAATGTCCGTTTGTATGTTTGTTTGTTGGCGATACACTAAGTCACTACTATAGCTATCGTCACCAAACTTTCTACAATTGTTTTCTGGGTCTTGGGAAAAGTCGAAGTCCACTTCCCCTCCACCCCCCCAAAAAAAATTCAATCGTTTGCTTGACCACTGTCTATGACAATCTATGAAACTGACCTATGTCTATGAAACTATTGGCAGTCTATGAAACTGACCAATAAGATTGCAGCGTTGCAAAACATTCAATTAATCGGTAGCGAAGGCGACCAAATGCCCTATGAGCGAGCATGTCAAAAGTAATATCAAAAGTTATAGAGGAAATAAAATTAAAAGCACACATTTTCATCCCTTTTTTTAATTAGTTTCGCAACAACAATATACAAAGCCGAATCATCGATCACAGAACATCGATTACTTTTTTAATTGTTTTATTAATTTATGATCAATTATGATACATTTTTTGCCACATTTAATCGACTAAAATTGAAAATAGGGGAAATGCGCTAGCGGATATAAATGGTGTAGTGATTTTAATAAAAATGACTCATAACAGAAGAAAAAAATCTGATGTGCACACCACATGACTTCCTTGTACGGAATATTAAATTATACGCATTTTTTCTTGCATTTCATTTAAACTTATTGAATTGAATTAATCCTACTTCGCCGACAGCGCATAAACCACAATAGAATAAATATTTTAAAATATTTAAAATATTTAAAATTCACTTTATTTGTTTACCATAGCAACACATTGGCTCTAGATTCACTTAACAGTATTATATTTCGTTCATATTATAACTCATAATGAACAAAATTTATATCATTTAAAGAATAGAGTTATCTAATCGTTGCCACATGTTCTATTCAAATACTATAATAAAGCTAGAACGATGTATAAAAGAAATTAAGCAAACATAACAAAAAACAAACAGTTTCTCACAGACGATTGAGTATTTCTCATTCAACTAATTCAGTTCTCACTTCGCGAGAAGGCAAAAATACATAAAAACTCAAAATATCTATATTAAAAATTACGAAATAAATCTTAAACACTTATTTCCTCGAAAAAATTCCAGAAAGGATAAAGCATGATTTAATTGGTAATAATAAATGAAGGCGTTATCTTTGTTGTTGCGAAGCTAAGTTTCTCTAGATTGGCAAAAAATCTACTAGTCTGCTGTTTCAAATGTAAACAATCAATGGCCGCCATTAAAAAAAAAGGCTGAGCAGCACTTAAACAACTTTAAAATTGTTGATAATTCTAAAAATATTGCATACAGATTAACTAAAGGGATAAAAACCTTAAGCGGAAAATAAAAACAACATAATTCAATCATTTTTAAAGCAAAAGATGTACAGATATCATGCAAAAACATCGTTAAATTGCATTCGATAGCGGTCAAAGTGGATATTTTCGTTGAAATATGCTGCCTGAAACTTTTCGCGATTACAATACTTCCTTTTTACTTCGTACAAGGAAGTAAAAAACCTTCACTGTATTTTACACTCTCTATACATTAAAGATCAATAATTTTAGATCAATAACTCTCTGTTGTTAGATACATCACTCTAAATCTAGCTTAACCTGCATCGGATACTTCCGCTAGTACTATATAAAGATACTTCTTTTCTTCAAATCAAGCTAATGTAACACAAAAGTGTTATTTGGAACTATAAAGAAAAATGTAGTAGAAATATACAGAGAAGATATTAAGAACTTTTTTTTAAAGTTTTTCTCCAGGGAAACAGACTAGTAATTCAGGCGCTTCCAATCGTAAAAGCTTATGCCGCTTGATTATGCTTATTGCAGTACTTCATATTCACTTGGGGTTCTAGCTATACGAATTTGATAATTAAATAGAGATAGATATGCAGCGGTTAAGGGATGAATTCCTATTTATAGTAATATAAATCAAACTGAACGAAATCCTGGGGGAGGGAGGGGTATACTACCATTTTTCTTTTGATCCTTCCGGACATTTTTCCCCTCATTCTTCTCTCACGATGCATAACCGAGATTCTATTTTAAGAGAAACCTCATCTGAAGTATCGATCGCTTCGGACGTGCCTAGATGGAACGTAAAAAGTGGTAAGGGGACAAAAGGAGTGGGAGAGGAGACGGCAGAGGATTTTTGGAGGCGAAACAATGCGAATATTATGCAACAGCTGCCGCGTCGTGATCGAATTTTCGCCCCAACAACTCCATTCCGCTGAACCGTCCCGCAGCACCAGACTCGACTCGACTCGACTCCTCAAAATGGAGTCCCCTCCCTGCCTCCGCCTGGGAAACAAGGGAAGAGAAGAGTGGGGCAATGAAGCACAAACAAAGATGGAAATTTTAACGTCTCCCCAAGATTGACACAATGAGATTTCGATTTTCCTAAAAATCTTTGGGGACGATTTCCTGCGGAGTGTGTATCATCGACATACTTACCTGATACCATACGTCTCTTTCTCTCTTTCTTTTTTATTTTTTTCGTCGCATTTTGTGAGGCAATCTTGTTTTGGAAGCAAGTGAATTTCACCAAAAAGTATTCCAACAATCCGCTTGAAAGCTGTTTAGGTATTCAACGCGGCAGTCACGTTGCAGAATGTGAAGTTCAAAAAATATGCACGTTTTTCGATATAAGCCCTCGAACAGTTTCACAAGCGCCTTTAGAAGACAAAGGCTTTACAAGAGAAGGCACATACTGATCCTCACTTATACGTCCACTTAAAAAAAATATATGTGCTTATTTGTCTATGAGAACAGCACGTACTGAAAATAAAATTACATCTATATTAAAGAAGAATGTCTGTATGTTTGTTTGTTTGTTAGCGATTAACTCAGTCACTGCTATAGCTGTCGTCGGCACACTTTTTACAATTCTTTTCTGGGTCCTTGGAAAGGAAACTTTCCGCTTTTTTGCCCCCGAAAAATAGCTAAAATGAGAGATATTAATTAAAACTCTCGAAACGCTAATTTTCACCCACATTTTCCGAGTGGCAACAGTCGCCGAAAAATCTGCAAGGAGGTTAGAATAGAAGGAGGGAGGGTTCGCAGTTTCCTCCACTATCGGGGAATGAAACTCCGCCGAACAAGCGGCGTCCATGTTTGTGACTTCAAAACATTGCATTACGGCAGTGACATGTACGTGTTTCTAAGCTGTTCCGTGCATTTATTTTCCAGTAAAAATATGTTAAATTTATAATGAAATCCCTCGCTATTGTTGAATTTTTGTTTTAAAGTAATAAAGATGATATCCATAATTTACTATGTACAGCAAATTATTAAGAAATAGTTCGAAATCTAAATGCATGCGCATAACATTAAAGCCTTTAAAAAATGATGTTTCTGCATATTTCACGGAATTTGCTTAGGTTAGAAAATAAATCTTAATAAAATAAAACAGATTTATGTGAATTCATTGATTTCAGTTTATGCGCATTTCATATTTATTAATCTCAAAGAAACTGCCTTTAATTAAGTTGAATTACAGAAATACACCTATATAAGTTTTTGGATACATCTTTCCACATGTTCAATTGTGTAAATATTTTACTTAATTTTATCACTATACTGCCCAGAAATTTGTAAGTTTATGCAAAAAATTTTTAACAACAGAACAGTTTATCTTAACTTAAAAAAATGAATAATAATTAATATATAAAGAAAAGCATTGCTTTATTTAACACCTTTACAATTAATAAAAATAGTAACAATTGATTTCTTACTTTTCATGAAAGTTATAAAACGAATTAACTAAAACGTTCAAATTATACAATTTAAATCCTACCATATAGCATTGTATCTTAAGGAACGAAGATACCAGCTATAAACAGAAACATTAAAATGTATTTAATATATTTTGATTATAGTTATATTAAATAACCTATTTTAAGTCCTTTTTTTTTCACATCTGGAAAGAAAACCACATGACATTGTGATATTTTTTGACATAGTTGTCATATTACATAAAAAAAGAAAATTAATACTTACGTGTGAAAAATAATGCCCGGAATTTTTTTCGAGAATCTATTTGTGCATCCATATGCAATACAAGCTGACATGCTTCAAAAAGAAAAGAAAAAAATGTTGCAATGACAGACTTCCTTGCACAAGTCACGGTGATAACAGGAAGATGGCCGCCAAGCTTCACCGTTTGAGTTGAACCTTCCCTCCTTCATCAACCTGTTTGGGTTTTTTTTTTAAAGTTAAAAAAAAAAAAAAAAAAATATGAAAAAAAAAAAAAATAAAAATTTATTTTAGCCTCGTTTTCCATGGCAACAGTCTCGCGCGTTGGAAATAAAAATGATTTATTTCGAAAAGTGTTTCTACTGCTCGCTTTGAAATCGTAGAGTATGTTAATCAAAAAGTTGCAAGTTTTACAAAATCCATATATGTATATATAAAGAAGAATGTCTGTTTGTGTGTGTATTTGTTTGTTCGCATCATTATTTCTGATCCATTATGATCCATTTTTTGCCCCGTTTAATCAACTAAAATTGAATATAGGTGAAATATTGGATGGAACTCGAGCTTTGACGACCATTCGATTACAAAGACGAAAATCATTAAAAAATTTGTGCCATTGTTGCCAATATAATGAGAGAGAATTAGTTTATTTTTGTATCAAAATTTTTTGCATGCGTTGTATTTTGCGTTGTTGTTGTTGGTTCGACACAAACGTTACGACACTAAAGACGACTCATGTTACGATACTTAACGTCGACTTACGTTACGACACTAAAGATTTCATTTACGTCAAGTTCACTAAAGAAGTAACATTTTAAGTTAAAACAAAACACAAATATCTATCAGATCGACCCAATATATTCTGAGAAAACGATTTAAGTGCACCACGTGGAAACTTCCACAAAATGGCCGATTAAAAAGCTAAAATTTAAAAAAAGAGAAAGAACGGAAAAAAAAAAATAATTAAAAAAAAAAAAGAACATTCTTTAAAAAAATAAAAGATTTAAAAAAAAGAGGCAACTCGGTGTACAGATAAATTACTTTTATTCTATTTCTATCTTCCTACGGAAGGAAACAAAATAAATAATAATTCTCTGCCGCCTTCACATTAGATTTTCTTCCGTCGAAATTTACCTGTTCTTGAAATTTCTTTCAAAAGACGAGGATACTCGAGTAGGGTTTGGGTGGAAGGAAGAATTTGATGCCTCGGCGTCGACGCAAATAATTTTCTTCTCCTTGCGTGCTTGGATTTTTTCACGCATCTTAAATTTAATTAAGACGAAATAAATGCAAGCGTTGCCGTGGACGGCGCAAAAATTGCATACTTCTCTCAAGCATAACTTGTTCCAGCACAAAACAGGGAGTGCTAGTTGAAGGGTGGCAGACGAACTCTTCTTATTGCAAGTGAGGGAAAAGGGGTTCAATTTAACTTGCCAGGACAGTCTAGAAGACGGGAAAAGAAGATATGTAGAGGTAATATATTTACAGCATCTCCAGAGAAATAAAAAACAAAGTCAGACTTTTTTACTTATTTTCCCCACCTCCCCTCTCGTTTAGTTTATAAGGTATTTCTCTCGCCTTCTTAGCATGTCTTCGTGCTATAGCGGTCAGCACGCTCGGCGCGTATTCGAGAAGTCCGAGATTGGAGTCCCGGCCAGGGCACGGCTCATTTCTCATGTCTAGAGCTTCGAAATAAGTTAATGTCTCTACAGTGGCGCCCGAACTAAACAAAAAGCTGGTGAATGATGATGCTTTACTACCAGGATTTGGAGACTAGGTCCCCTAAACCCCACTCGCATTTTAAATGGGGGAGCATATAAGGTATTTCTCCCGACTTCTTAGCATATCTTCGTGGTGCAGTGGTCAGCAGGCTGGGCGCGCATTCCAAAGATCCGTGGTTCGAGTCCCGGAGAGCACACTGCTTGTTTTTCATGGCTGCTGCTTCGAAATAACCTAATATCTCTACAGCGGCGCCCGAACTAAACAAAAAGCTGGTGAATGATGATTATTTACCACCAGGATTGGCGACTGGCTCCCCAGTCGCCCTATAAAAGGCGAATTATATAATGTATTTCTCCCGCCTTCTTAGCATGCCTTCGCGGTGTAGTGGTCAGCACTAATCCCCAGTCGCCCTTTGAAAGGGTGAGTATATAAGATATTTCTTCCGCCTTCGTGGTCAGCATGCTCGGTGCGTATTCGAGAGGTCCGTGGCTCTAGTCCCGGCGAGGGCATTACACATTTTCACGTCTCCAGCATTTGAAAAAATACCTAATAGCTCTACAAGTTTTGTTTGAACTCTGCTGAGAATTTCAAAAATTATTCACTTTGAAAATAGTTTCCTAAAAAAGACTCTATCTCTCACTATCGGGCACTGAGATGTTGGTCAGACGGGCAGTTATGGGGTATTGGGAAAAAACGGACAGTAAAAATATAAAATTCAGTTGCTTAAATAATTTTGAGACAAACATTTGGTTATACAAATATTCCAGTTACGCATTTATGGAAAAATCGTACAAAGTGTATCCAAGCCGCAAAGCAATTTAATTTTTACTTCCTTGCAAAATTAAAGGAGGTACTGCAATCGCGAAAAATTTCGGGTATCATATGTTAATGAAAATATTCATTTTCAGCGCTCTTCAATGCTGAACAGACCTCAACGTTTCGAATTATTTACAAATTCACATTTAAGGCTTAAAAACCTGGTTGAATTATTTCACGATTATTAACTCAATTTCAATCCAAGACAAACTTACGAACTCATAACAATAGCGCTAAAAAAAAGTAGACATCAGTACAACAAACTGAGTTTGAAAACTGAGTTTTCATTCAGCGCAACAAACAGAGTTTGAAAAAGCTTTCTCCTAAACTTACACTCTCGCTCGTTTTTCAAACTTACTTCATTTACATCCTATGATGGAGTAGATGAAATAGTAAAAGAGCGAAAAAGATTCAAACTAAAAACAAAGCAAATATATATGTAACAATAAAATTCCATAATCAAGAACACACTTAAAATTCTAACTGTATGTTCTTTTCATTTTTTAATGGCGACGTTCTCTTATTTGAAAGTACGTGGAATTAAATAAACAGCCCCGTAGTCGAGTTGTTTTTCCCGCCTTTTCTACACGTTCTACACGTACTGTTATAGAATGTTCTCGAGATATTTAAAGCGAACTGGAATGGCTGACGAGGCTGACATCATTTCTTTGAAGCTCCGCCTTTCCAGAGGCTATAAAAGGACTCGCAAAGGAATATCGGGGTCTTTTCTTTAATGTAACGATGCAGTAAACTTCATACAAAAAGTTATTAGTAGTTCTTTTTTATTTACTCTGGATATCTGATTTTGTAACTGTTATTTTCTCCTGAAATATGATAAATGGATCCTGTTTTAAACTTATCGTCTGATAATTTAAGTTACGACTACATCTATGATTCTTCACCAGTATATTTATTCCGGACAAAAGCTGGTACATCACATATATATATAAACTTGAAAGCTTTCAGATTTTATATTATGCCCAAAGAGGCGTTTAAGTTTTGTGTGTTACCTTTATTTATTAAATAGCATGTTCTTCACACTTGAATCATACAATTCAGTTAAATAGCAATATCACAAAATAAATTTAAAATGAGCATATCCTATAGAATTTTCGATACACAGTCTCGCGCGCTGGAGATAATTTTTTTTTTCAAATAGTGTTGCCATTCCTCCCTTTGAAATCTTTGAGTTTGTTAATCAGAAATTCTTTAATGTCTGACAAAATATGAAATCTATAATAAAACAAATTCCAAATTAGGGTTTCCATATTCGCAGTAGGATTACGTCATTCAAAATCGGATGGCTCTAGGTACCGTTGTTTTATGCCAAAGCGAAAAACATGCACACGTTTATGCAGATTCTTCATTATTTAATTTCTTTAAATATAATACAGGGCGAAAATATTTGATGGCAATAATTTAAAAAATGAATTAATTATCAAGGATTATACTGAATGGACGCAAAATGCCAAAACGAAATTAATAGTCCTTCTCGGCAATTGTCCCTTTGGTCTAATAACAACTTAATTAAAATAAACCTAGCATAGGAAAATTAAGGAAAATACGATTATCAAGACCTACTCCAAAATGTATTTTTACCTTATAAATTTCTTGACGTGTGTAAATTTTAGCTGCCTATTAAATTTAATCTTGCGAAAACAGCCATCCCTTTTGTACACTTGCGATACTAAAAATTAGTGCCAATGATAAATGTATTCATATTTAATTCTTTTGGAAAGCTAATTCTTTAGACAATGAGGAGGATCCTACAGCGAATTCTAAATAAACACTCCACTCCTCCGCCACCATGTAACAACTTAAATTTCACGAACTCAAAAATATTACTGTAAAAAATAATCTGATGTGTACACCACATGACTTCCTTGTACGGAATATTAAATTATACGCATTTTTTCTTGCATTTCATTTAAACTTATTGGATTGAATTAAATCTACTTCGCCGACAGGGCTTAAACCACAATAAAATAAATGCATTCTTTAAAATTCACTCTATTTGTTTACCATAGCGACACTCTGGCGCTAAATTCACTTAGCAGTATTATATTTCGTTCATAGTATAACTCATATTGCACAAAATTAATATCATTTAAGGAATTATCTAATCGTTGCCACATGTTCTATTCAAAAACTATAATAAAGCTAGAACGATGTATAAAAGAAATTAAGAAAACAAAACGAAAAAGTAACAGTTTTTCACAGACGATTGAGTATTTCTCATTCAATGAATTCAGTTCTCACTTCGAGAAAAGTCAAAAATACATAAAAACGCAAAATATCTTTATTAAAAATTACGAAGTAAATCTTAAACACTTATTTCCTCGAAAAAATTCCAGAAAGGATTAAGCATTATTTAATTCGCAATAATAAATGAAGGCGTTATCGTTGTTGTAGCGAAGCTAAGTTTCTCTAGATTGGCAACAAATCCACTATCTTGCTGTTTCAAATGTAAACAAGCAGTGGCCGCCATCAAAAACATTATTAGGCTTAGCGGCACTTAAATAACTTTAAAATTGTTGATAATTCTAAAAATATTGCACACAGATTCACTAAAGGCGTGAAATCCTTAACAGGAAGATAAAAACAACATAATTCAATCATTTTTAAAGCAAAAAATGTACAATTTACAAACATATAAGAGAAAAGAAACTGAGATCACTGAGCCGGGTAACAGAGTGGATATATATATAAATATATTTATATACGTTTGGTGCGGGCGATTGCAACCAAAATACGAGGTGCACATCTACATGCTATATCAGTCCTATGTACAAAATTTCAACGTTCTGAGGCTACTCGTTTTTGAGTTATGCGAGATACGTACGTACATACGTCCGTACAGACGCCACGAAAAATTCTCGGTACTTTTCCGTTTTGCTGGCGCAAACGATAAAGTCGCCAATAATGGTTTAACTGATGCCAGACAGAATATCTTCGCTGGTAACCCTTTACGCCTCAGTTTCAAAACAAGTTGAAGCCATTTCTTATCAGATTGTTTCTTTCAATACTGGCATACAATAATATAGAATTTTTACACGATATTTAAATTTTATCCCCTAAGACAATTCACGGTAATTAAGTCGATTAGAACGCAATTACACCGCTCATCAAGGCGAAATCAAGTGTTAAATTCGTCAATTCTAATGAGAATGCACTAGCGAAGGAAAGCACTGCCGTTTTACATAATTTCTGAGTAAGCTATTTGTACGAATTCAAATAATTTTTGCATTTAAACTTGTATTCCAAATTAAGATTTATCTTGAAATTAATGTAGATAATTACTGAGAGAATTAGATTTTAGTAGCGTAGTTTATAAGTGAGATGAGATTACTTGGGGTCACGTGATACGAACCGGCGAATCAGGATTTTGAACCATGAAATCATAGTAAATTTCTTAAATTAATGTCTTTTTACAAATTTATTGTCTTTATTTATTGGCTTTTTACAAAATTTTAAACCATATTAAAATGGTTATGCCTTCAAAATAAAAAAAAAAAAAATTTTCTTAGAATTAACTTTTTTTATGTGTATATTGTATGTTGTCGCCAACAAAGTCTGCTTGGCGAGATTTGCGCCGGCGAAACGGAAAAGTACCAAATTCTCTTCAGAATTCATTTTAAAGCAGTTTTATATTTTTTGGAGGAAAAGAGTATTTTATTCTTTCCTTACGTACAGATATCACGCAAAAACATCGTTAAATTGCATTCGATAGCGTTCAAAATGGATATTTTTGTCGAAATATGCTGCCTGAAACTTTTCGCGATTACAATACTTCCTTTTTACTTCGTACAAGAAAGTAAAAAACAGCAATACAATCAACTTCAAATTAACTAGAGGTTGATTAAATGGGTTTTGGATTAACTGAGACCTGTTTAAAAAAAGGGTTT